CTATAAAGATCCTATAGGGGTTCTAGCAAAAAGAAGCAAAGCATCACAGCTGTAGAATTTTTACAGCCATGAGCAGCTGCACGTCCTTCATTACATGTGCAGCCAGTGGGTGGTAAAACCATGGCTCAACTGCCTGCTTTTAGTGTCCCCTGGTCACCCATTTGGATGAGGCCTAAATATAAAATATCAGATAGGATATGGTCCTATGCATTTCAAGTCTTTGTTTTCAGTTTTTACTGGACTGCCAATTTAAGGATCAGGAGTAAGCTTTCAATTTAGGTAATGTAATCTGAAAATTATAATATCTCTCCTGAATTATGTCCTCAGATCCCATGGCATAACGCCATAAATTACAAAATGCTCTTTTCTTAAACATCTCTCTTTCTGATAAGAATCATTTGTGCTTCATGAATGAACTCTTGTGAAAAGTTTTGTTTAAAGCAGAGTTCCACTCGACCTATCAAAAAATAAAAGTCAGCAGCTACAAAAACTGTAGCTGCTGACTTTTAAAAAACAGCCACTTACCTGTCCCTCGGTCCCGTTGTGTGTCCTCCGCAGCCCGTTTCACGGCTGTCCTGTATTCCAGGAGGCCGGCATCTTCAGTGTGGGCACCCGGCTGTGACAGCTTGCGGCTTCCCAGCTGGGTACCCACTACACATGCGTGAGTAGTGCTGCGCTTTGTGAATGGTCCTGTAGTCTTCTGGGACCTGTCACATGTTCCAAAAGACTACAGGGAGGGAGGACACCTTCCACTTCCGATCGCCTAGGAAGTGGGAGCGGGTACCTGTCAAATTCAGGTACCCGCTCCCCAAAGGTGCCAATCCTTAATGGGGAGCGGGGGAGCAGTCCTTAAAGTGGAACTTCCCCTTTTGGTTGGAGTTCCGATTTAACTACTTCAATGCCAGAAGGGGCCCTTTGTGAACCAGATCAATTTTCACCATTTGGCCACTGACATATTGATTTGTCAATACATTTGTTATTACTTTTATTATTATACAGTATTTATATAGCGCCAGAAATGGTTTGCTCAGTGCTGATTATTATTATAGTGGGAGACAGAACATGAGACAATACAGTAACAAAACAATACATGAGGGGTTCGAGGGCCCTGCTCTTTCAAGCTTACAATCTACTTAAGCTTTCATTTGGAGATGTTGTGTTGTAAGAACAAATTAATTTTCTTTTTACTTTAGTGAAAAAAAACAGCATAAAAATCTAGTTTTGACCGAGTAGTAGTTGTAGAACCATTAGAGTTACTGTGGCTACACAGTACACATTTTGGTTTGTGTTGTTTTATATTACTAAAGCATGTAAAGCATAACGAGGCAAACAACAAAATTAATGAAACCATAAAGACGGTGTATGAACAGTAGTGCAAAAAATGCGGAATAAAAACAAGAGCGGAAATAAGGGTTAATTGAGTGGTAATTAGGGCTGGTATAAACAAACTGACAAAAATCCACATTTAATTTAATAAAACTCTAAAAGCTTTTTTTCACCGGTAAAGCTTTGCTGCAGATATTGTTACAATGCAACAGCACACAGATCTTCCCAGTGAATGGCTGCACAAGGGGAATATGTTAGCACACATCTGATCATTGCGGAGAGCACACTGAGTTCCCAACACTGCCAGCAATCTGACCACATTGTGCTCTCATGAATGGTGTGGTCAGTTTTTGATAAGAAAGCAGAGGGAATAGGATACTTTTCATACAAGTACATGGTACACCAGGAACTTATCAGGAATATGAAATGTTGGGGGATCAATACTAGTTTAATTAGGGTTTTTTTTTAAAGTTTTTACATTTTCAAACTCACGTTTAATATATATTGTTTAAAACACTTTTTAAAAATTGTTTTACAAAAATACAGATTCCCATAGCACTATGGGTTTTCTAACAAGAGAACCCCCCAGTCATTATCTCCGTTCAGACTGAACCTGTCTGATTTAAACCTCAGGCAGACCCATCTGACTCATTCACTTATTTCCTTGTAAACTACACTTTGAGTACAAAACTACATAATAGTTGTGTGCAATCTTTTACATGTACCCGAGTAAAAAAAAAAAACAAAGACAAGAAAACAAAAAATAAATAAATAAATAAAACATTTTTAATATATATATATATATATATATATATATATATATATAGTTGCAAGAAAAAGTATGTGAACCCCTTGGGATTACGTGGAGTTTTGCATGAATTGGGCATAAAATGTGCTCTGAACGTCATCTAAGTCACAACAATAGAAGAACACAGTCTGCTAAACATAATACTACACAAACATTAGATGTTGCCATGGTTTAATTGCACATAACATGTAAACATTCATTCAGTGCAGGGAGGAAAAAGTATGTGAGGCCCTAGCTTAATGACTTCTCCCAGAGCTAATTGGAGCCAGGAGTGAGCCAACCTTGACTCCAATCAGTGTGATGATATTGGATGTGTTGCTGACAGCTGTCCTGCCCTTAAAAAACACACACCTGTTTTGGGTTTACTGGTTTCAAGAAGCACTGTCTGATGTGAACCATGCCTCGCAGAAAAGAGCTCTCAGAAGACCTACGATCAAGAATTGTTGACTTGCATGAAGCTGGAAAGGGTTACAAAAGTATCTCCAAAAGCCTTGATGTTCATGTGTCCACGGTAAGACAGACTGTCTACAAATGGAGAAAGTTTATCACTGTTGCTACTCTCCCTAGGCATGGTCGTCCTGTAAAAATGACTGCAAGAGCACAGCGCAGAATGCTGCATGAGGTAAAGAAGAATCCCAGAGTGTCAGCTAAAGACCTACAGAAATCTCTGGCACATGCTAACATTTTTGTTGACACATCTACAATAAGGAAAACATTAAACAAGAATGGAGTACATGGGAGGACACCACGGAGGAAGCCAGTGCTGTCCAAAAAGAATATTGCAGCACGTTTGAAGTTTGCAAAAGAGCACCTGGATGTTCCACAGCACTACTGGCAAAATATACTGTAGACAGATGAAACCAAGATTGAGTTGTTTGGGAAGAACACACAACACTATGTGTGGAGAAAAAAGGCACAGCACACCAACATCAAAACTTCATCCCCACTGTAAAACATGGCGGAGGGAGCATCATGGTTTGGGGCTGCTTTGCTGCCTCAGGGCCTGGACGGATTGTTGTCATTGATGGGAAAATGAATTCCAGAGTTTATCAAGACATTTTGCAGGAAAACGTACGACCATCTGTCCGCCAACTGAAGCTCGCAGAGGATGGGTGATGCAACAGGACAATGACCCAAAGCATACAAGTAATTCAACAAAACAATGGCTGCAACAGCACAGAATACGCCTTCTGGAGTGGCCCAGTCAGAGTCCTGACCTCAACCCGATTGAAATGCTGTGGCATGACCTTAAGAGAGTGATTCACACCAGACATCCCAAGAATATTGCTACACTGAAACAGTTTTGTGAAGAGGAGTGGTCCAAAATAACTCCAGATCGTTGTGCAGGTCTGATCTGCAACTACTGGAAATATTTGGTTGAGGTTATTGCTGCCAAAGGAGGGTCAACCAGTTATTAAGTCCAAAGGTTCACATACTTTTTCCTCCCTGCACTGTGAATGTTTACATGTTATGTGCAATTAAACCATGGCAACATCTAATGTTTGTGTAGTATTATGTTCAGCAGACTGTGTTCTTCTATTGTTGTGACTTAGATGACGTTCAGAGCACATTTTATGCCCAATTCATGCAAAACTCCACGTAATCCCAAGGGGTTCACATACTTTTTCGTGCAACTGTATATAAAATGTATTTATTTATTTTTCGTATATGTCCTATTAAATTAAATCACAATTCACTTGAATGTGGAAAAAAGGTCATTAGGGTATTGACACATATTTTGCGCACAGGTGCCAGAAAATGTAATGGCTGATGCATTTACTAAGTGTAAAGGGAAACAAACGCATAGATTTAGGAAAAGGAAAACAGATACTTTTAGTAGTTAATTTCATTTATAATGTTATGCTCAGGAAGACCAGTCCTTTTCCATGGAGCAATTTTAATGTGGTTGCAGACAGGAAGGCAAAACAAACTAATAGAACATTTTCCAAATTTGTTCAAAGTTTAAAAAAAGCTGCTTGTAGTCCAGTGATCTAATTTCATGGCAGCTCAGTATATTGCTAAACAATATTTTGCTCTAGTTAAGGTCTTAAAAAGATGCCAAATGGAAAAAATATTGCAAGACACATAACCCAAGCAAACAGCAATTACTACTACTATGCTTGATTAAACAGCAGCAAGAATGAAGTCCCAAGATATCTGTAGTTGTCTATAGAAAATTTTGTAGATGAAAATCACTTTGAAAAACACCCTCTAGCATTTCTTGCCATGGCCATTTTGAGTAAGGGCAGATGATCCATGTAGCAACTACTTCCTGCAATCCATTTGCCTTTAGCTTAGGCATACAGGCAGGAGGGTGTGCTTAGCTGACAAAAAACCCTCCTCCCCTTCTGAAGACTCCTGGGATGTATGACATAATTTGCCTGGGTATGGAAACCAGGAAGTAACTGAAAAATTAATTTTTTTTTTAAAACAAGTAAATATGATATACTTTCCTGTCTATTTATTATTGCTATCAGCATAAGGATTCAAAATCGCTATTGTTGTTTGAGAGAGTGAAGTTCCACTTTAAATAGTCAGTCCACCTAAAACTCAAATGTAAGTTGGGATGCCAACAGCTTAAAGTGTTACTGAACCCACAACAGTAAAATCAGTCTGTATATGCAGTAAAGCATGCTTGTTATACTCACTGTGGAACCTAAAGGGTTAATCCTCTACATTGTGTAAAAAGGCTGTTTGATCCTTTCTTCTCTGACCTTCCTCTTGTTGAAATGACCACCTGATACAGACTGAACCCATGGTCACATGTACATGCTCAGTTTGGTGTGTATTGCTAGAGAGGCTTTTTTTTTTTTCTTAGGAGGGTGCATGTGATTAGCACTCTCCAGACAGAGGTCAGGGGTTTCACATTCCTAGAGCAGAAAGAAAACTCCTCCTGCAAGCTTTAACCAATGCTCTGCTGAAGTCACAAGACTGCTCTAACTGCTGATGAGAAAAGGTATTTAGCAGTTTATATTTACTAAAATAATTGCATTTCCATGTTCTGTGTACTGTGGGATTACAGGAAGTGGCCTGCATTTTGGAATAATTCAGGATTTAAGGAATACAATTTTTCTGGGTACAACTTGACCAGATATAATGAATTCAGGGTCCTGGGATTAGTAAACACTTTAAACAGCGAGGACCTGAATTCTGGAAGATGTGTCCAAAAAGACAAGTGAATGGCAGCCAGTCATCAGTATTGCCTCTGGTTGACTAGCAGCTGATCTTTTCCCCGTTACTGACTTACCATGCCTTGTTTTGTGCGTTATCTTTGTTTGGAAGTGGCCATCTTGGTAGCTGAGCAGGGCTTTGCTTCCTCATGTCAGAGTTGCCCCCCTGATGATTGGTAATCTGATTAGTGGATGAATAATCAGGCAGCAGGAGAAGGAAAAGAGGTGTAGTGAGCACAGGCCCACAGAATAAAATTAGCAGAATCAGAGAAATCCTTGTAGTACAGGTCTTCAGGTGCAGCTTCCTCTCCAGCAAAAACAGTGAACAGCATAGTAGTCACATCTTCAAATCTTGTTAGACTAGCAGTCAGAGGCACTAGTACCTTGGATGATCTCACGCTGCAGATATACAGCTATGAGGCTCAGTGTACTTTAATCTTAATCCAGCTAAACTATGACAGGCTAGGTACAGGAAGTGGCCTGCATTTTAGGAATAATTCAGGATAAAGGATACATTTTTCAGGGTACAACTTAGGCACAATAAACTGGAAGGTAGATTATTTTAATAACTAGAACATTTGCTTTAGAAGTGGATTCTGGTAAATAACCCAAATACCAAATATGCAGCATCCTGTTCTTATTGATTTCAGCAATTAATAGGAACAGTTTCTATACTGTTTTCTAAAATTGAGCTGTATAGTATCTTTAATCTTTAATCCAGGCTAAACTGATAATATAACCTCAAAACATACATACTGTAAAACATGTATTCATTTTCTTAAAACGTAGCTCCACCCAAAAACAGGGGAAGTTCTACTTTAAGGCCTTGTCCCTTGCTCCCCATTAAGAATTGGTACCTTTGGGGGAGCAGGTACGCATTTTTGACAGGTATCCACTCCCACTTCCACTGCGATCACCTAGGTGCTCGGAAGTGGAAATTGTCTCCCCCCTGTAGTCTTCTGGGACACATGACAGGTCCCAGAAGACTATGGGACCATTCACAAGGCACAGAGCGCCGCTTGATGCCTCAAGCTGTCACAGCCAGGTGCCCACACTTAAGATGCCAGCACCAGGGAGAGAGGAAAGCCAGTGAAACCGGCTGTGGTGAGGACACCAGTAGATTGAGGGACAGGTAAGTGTCTGTTTTTTAAAAAGTCAGCAGCTACAATTTTTGTAGCTTCTGACTTTTTTTTTTTTTATTTTGACTGGAGCTCCGCTTTAAATTTGAGTGTCCTGTGTGTATTTCGTGCAGATCTGTGCAATAATCTGGGCAGCACAATGGCTAAATGGTTAGCACTTCCGCCTGGCAGTGCTTCAATTCTCAACCACAGCACCACATGCCTGGAGCAGGGGCGGACTGACCATTTGGAAACACGGACACTGCCTGAGGGCCCGGGGTCCGTAGGGGGCCCCATGATATGTCCCTGGTACCTTTTTCATAGGCTTTTTTGAGTTTGGACAAGGACACAGGGGCCCCATGATCGCCTATTGCCTGGGGGCCCCATGAGTTGTCAGTCCGCCCCTGGCCTGGAGTTTGCATGTTCTCCTTGTGCCTGCGTGGGTTTCCTCCCACACTCCAAAGACATGCTGGTAGATTAAGTGGCTCCTGTCTAAATTGGCCCTAGTATATGTTTGAATGAAAGTTAGGGACCTTAGACTGTACACCCCTTGAGGGTTAAAGACTGATGTGAACATACAATATATTTGTAAAGCGCTGCATAAATTGATGGCATTATGTAAGTAGCTGAAATAAATAAATAATAAATCCAGCATGAAACAATTCCTGCACTTTGCCTTTATATAGGAGTTTCCTGTGATAAAGACCAGTCACATCTGCTTTCTCTGCTTGTGTTGGGTGACTGGTCTTGTATCTGCCCCCCTCTGTTTCATGCATGCAGCCTGTACTGGGAGCATCTGGAGTCCACCCAGAGCTCTTTTTGTTACACAGGCTAAGCACAGCACAGTGATGATATCACATTTACACAGTAATATCTAGGTTTGCAAATGAATTTGGTGTAGAGAAGTGTATTTATATCCTTTGTGGTTATTGAGGAGTATACCAAATGTGACCAGAGCTTAGCTTTAATTCTGTTTTTATTGCCTCGGTTGACTACCTACAGTATATCATGTTCTATAAAAAGGGCATGAAACTATATTCAATTCATTTTAAATAAAGAGATCATAAAGGCACTTGGGTTATTTGAAACATTTTCTGTAGTACAGAAAATGAATTTGGATCCGAATCTAGACAATCTTTTTTGATTATTTATATTAAACTAAAGGCAGGAAATGATTCATTTAATTCCTGCCACTATTGGAGTGTTGCCACTTTGAGATCAGGAAGAGTAGGCTTTCCCTTGGCAGATTTTTGCTTGCACATTGATGAATGAACTTCTATGTTTAGAGCCGGCTAACATTTTATAAAGTCCAAAAAGCCAGCTAACCATGATAAACCCAGCACTCTTTTTCGTTTCAGGTGAATATCCCGCTTAGATTCATTGCATCGCCCTTAAGAAATGTTTTTATTCAAAATAGATTTCTGTACTAGAATTTATAGCAACTTTATTTAAAATAACCAAAATATAAAATGTCCTTTTTAATGTGTGTCTGCTTTAATAGTTGCCAAATACTGATGTATTTTAAATGTTTTCAAAGTTTTATGTGGAGTGCTCAGAATGTTCACTGCAAACAGTACTTATTCCCACTCTAAGAATATTTATAGGTTATCCTGTACACTAATGTACGTTTGTTGTAAGTAAATTCATTCAGTGTACTGCTAATGTATTACAGCAAACATTGGAACTGTGGCGTCATAATGTCTTTCTTAAAGGGTTAGTCCACATTTACAAAAAAAAAAAACTACCTATGCAAGTAAGCAGGGTCGTAGATATGGGGGTACCACCAGTCCTCTTGTACAGGACCCAGGCCAGTAGAGGGGTGAATTGGATGTGGGCAGGGAGGGTGATCGGCACACAGCGTGGGGGAGGGGGGCAATTACTGGTACCGATCCCCTGTATGGCTCTCTCTGAAGCAGCTGAAAGATGGCTTCTTCTCTCTCCCGCTGACTTTCTGCTGCTCCAGAGAAAGACATACAGGGGATCAGTTGCAGTAATCGCCCCCTTGGTGCACCCATCACCCTTCCTGTGCACCATACATTTCCCCCCTTCTTCCCAGACCCCCTTGTGTACCCCAACCCCCACAGTGCTGCCGGCTTCCCTTCTCTCCTTCCCACCGGCAGCTGCAAGCAAACAATAGGATCCTTCTGGTCGGAGAGTGGGGGAATGTGACACAGTAAATGTGTCACATTTGCCAGCTGCTTCATTTCCTGAATGTACACAATCAGTGATTGGTACTGATCACTCACTGTGCTCATTCATAACTGAAGCATAGAAAGCTGTGGTTTGTTTGTTTTTTTTGTTTGGGGGGGGCTGTCAGGTTGGCTGCATGGGTCCCATTGGATTCTAACAGCAGCCCTGCAGGTAATAGGGGCCTCTAGATAAAAGCAATTTGTGCAGATCTCTGACCAAAGTCAAATAATGCTCTTGCTATAGGTGAAGGTCATTTACCTCCCACAGCCTGGCCAGGAAGCTCCCAGAGATGGTATCATCCCATTCTGCCTTGTTGCTAGGATAGTGCTACAACAATCCAAGTCAATTCAAACCCCTTCACTTGCACTCTGTCTCTTCCATATTGCACTAGCTCTGAGCTCAGCTATGTGGCGACAAAGGAGATAGGGAACCACACTTGTGCAGGGGTTTGAAACCTCACTCTTGTGATGGTGGAGGTTAGCAGTAATAGCTAGGAGTGACCTAACAACATCCTAGCAACAAGGCAGGACGGGATTTTTGGACAGGTTTTGGGAAGTAAGTGAATGACCTACACCAGGGGTGGACTGACCATTTGGAAACTCGGGCACTGCCCGAGGGCCCGGGGTCAGTAGGGGGCCCCATGAGATGCCCCTGGTACCATTTCCATAGGCTTTTTTTGAGTTTGGGCAAGGACACAGGGGCCCCATGATCCTCTATTGCCCGGGGGCCCATGAGTTGTCAGTCTGCCCCTGCCTACACCTATAGCAAAAGCATTATGTGACTGTATACAAAGCTGCAGTTTGTTTTTTCTACGAGGGGTGTTCAAGTCAAACCTGGACTTTTGAGTTTATATAATAAAAGAACACATTTCAAGTAGTGGAAACTGCATTTATTTTTCAACATACTCCCCTGCTATATTTATACACTTATCCCAGCATTTAACTAATGCCTGGAAAGCTTTAGCATAGAAATATTTGTCCATTTATTTATTTCAGGTACTTATATAGCGCTGTCAATTTACACAGCGCTTTACATATATATTGTACATTCACATCAGTCCCTAACCCTCAAGGGGTGTACAGTGTAAGTTCCCTAACTTACATTCATACATACACATACTAGGGACAATTTAGACAGGATCCAATTAACCTACCAGCAAGTCTTTGGGGTGTGGGAGGAAACTGGAGTACTCCGAGGAAACCCACACAGGCACAAGGAGAACATGCAAACTCCAGGCAGGAGGTGCCATGGCTGGGATTCGAACCAACGACCCTAGTACTGCCAGGCGGAAGTGCTAACCATTTAGCCATTGTGCTGCCCATGTCCATATGCCTGAACCATCCTAGGACAGCCAGCTTTACTTCCTCATCATTGTGTTCACCATTCCCACAGAAAGATTTGTTTCTTATGCAATTTCATGACAGGCTATGTGTTGATTATCCAGGATCAGGCGTTCCATGTGCTGAATGTTCACAGGAATGACTGCTGTGGGCTGGGAACCACCACGGCCGGGATTGTCACTGACAGACATATGGCCATCTTTG